CTGCTGAAGTTGGTCACATGTTGGTCAGAGAGGAGCAGCTAGTGGAAATGACTGAACATATGTTTTTAAACTGTGTTGCTATTTGATATGTACTATTGAGCATTTTTTATTGACATTCGTATATAAGACTATTGTGTAGTTTTGTGTATACTCTTTAATTAGTTTCTATTATCAAATTGTGCTCCTTTCATTGTTAAAAGGAGAGAGTGAGATTTTCTTTCACACTCTCCACTCTGAACAAATTAAATTTAAATGATTTATTTCCTAAAGTATTGGTGGAATTCACCTGAGAACTGCCTCTCTGTCAATAGAGAGCCTGTACATTTTCTATTTCATCTCAAATCAATTTTGCAAATTTATCTTCTTCTATAATTTATCAATGTCATGTATTTAGCATATGGAGGTATATTTGTTCATTTAGTCAACAAGATTTCTGTGTGCCACTAGTGGGCTCTATCCTCGGCAGTTGGGATATTTCAGTAAACAAAAGTCCCTGAGCTCTCATACACGCCTGTACTCTTCTAATTCCTTTAATTTTCCTAAACACGTGGTCACCTCCCTCTTGCAATTCTTCTTTTGTATGTCTATGGTCTTGTTTTGTAATTAATGGTTTATCAAGTTATTTTTTATTTTTCCTGGATTTCATTTAGACCAAATCTCCCAAAGGAAAGAAAATTCATTGCCTACTTCTGCTGTCTTTCTGTTTCTTAATTCATTCATATCTCATTTTCTTTTACTTATCTCTTGTCTGTTTTTTATAACTCATCCATAGATTTCTAACTTCTTAGGTTGAATATTTATTTCATTGATTTTTGCTGGTTTTTCTTGTATACTAATATAAACATTGAATATAATGAATTGTCCATTGAGTACTGTTTTAGTTAAGATTTCTTAAGTTGGTTTTGTAATTTTACAGATATTCTGAGTTTGGGGTTTGCTTTCTTCTTTAATTGTTGTTTACAAGAGTTCCTGTCTTACTTTAATTTCTAGTGTTAGAGCTTTTTTTCTAGCTTTTATATTCTACTTTTAATCATGCTGAGCTCAGATATCATCAGTCAGTGTTTTCAACATTTCATGGAATTGTGACAAGATACATTCTATTTTAAAGTATTGAGTTGGATATAACGGACATATAATCCTGTGTTATACATTTTTATCATCTAGTATTAGAAGAGCTATTTGAGTGAGTGGTTCTTTCTTTTAAACAGTGATTCTTAACTGGGTGTTAAGAGATTTGGCAATGTCTGGAGACATTTTTGATTGTTACAACTGGTGGGGGTGGGGAGAGATAATATTGGCATTTAGTAGGAATAGGCCAGGGATGCTGCTAAACATCCTACAATGCACAGAACAGCTCCCACAACAAAGAATTATCTGGGCCAAAATGTAATTTTTGCTGAGATTGAGAAACCCTGCTATCAGAAGAGTCTTTCTTGATAGATGTTAAAATGTGCTGATTCCTAACGCCATAGTTTCAATTTATTGCATATAACTGAAAACTAATCCATTTAGCCTTGTTTATAGTGCTTGAAGTAAACTGTCTACCTTTTACATGGACAGTTTGAATAAACTGTCCAGCTATGTTTTTTCTTGTGTATTTTATCTTAGATTGTTAAACTGCTAATGGATGCCATGCTTTTAGTATTTGAGTTTAAAACACATGGGCAAGCGAGCCCCAATGAAAATAAGTTAATGCAGGAAGCCAGGCTTTCCTGGTGACTCAGTGGTTAACAATCCGCCTGCCAATGCAGGGGACACGGGTTCGAGCCCTGGTCCGGGAAGATCCCACATGCCGTAGAACAACTAAGCCGGTGCACCACAACTACTGAGCCTACACTCTAGAGCCTGTGAGCCACAACTACTAAAGCCTGCATGCCTAGAGCCTGCACTCTGCAACAAGAGAAGCCACTGCAATGAGAAGCCCGCGCACCGCAGGAAAGAGTAGCCCCCGCTCGCCGCAAATAGAGAAAGCCCGTGCACAGCAAAGAAGACCCAACGCAGCCAAATATAAATAAATAAATTTAAAAAAAATAATTTCTTCAGTATGAGTCAAGAGAAAAATTGCTCTAATAACAGACTGCCATTGAAAAATA